CCTTCCTCTGTACCTTTGCTTCTGGCATTTCTGTCAAGAACACCCTGCCTGCCTGGCCGGCATGGCTCAGTGGTTGAGCATTGACCTATGAACCAGGAGGTCAGGGTTCGACTCCTGGTCAGGGCATCTGTCCAGTTTGCAGGCTTGATCCCCAGTAGGGGTGCATGCAGGAGGCAGCCGATCGATGATGTTTCTCTCTCACCGATGTTTCTATCTCTCCATCCCTCTCCCTTCTTCTCTCTCTGAAAATCAATAAAACAACCCCACAACTCTGTACACTTAACACTTGCCATTCATTCATTCCAAGATGTCTAGAAATTGATTTATCATGCTAAGCACTAGAAATATAATGGTGAGCAGGACAGAAAGAGCCCAGGCACTCACTCCTTTCCTGGTGGAGTCAGAGAAGTAAAACAAGCATAAGCAATCCCAACAGAGTGTAATTAGCGCTGTGCGAGGGAAAGGGGAGGGCGCTAGGGGTTTGCATTTTCCCCAAGTACATCTCACACTGACCTTTCCAGATCTGCATGCCTTCGGCCCTCCTAGCTGCCGGTCATGCCCTTGCTCTGTTCTCTCTCCCAGCCACTGCTTTTATTGTCCAATAAACTAAAAGATGGAACGTACTACATGGAGCTCTGTATAATTCAGTACAACTGGTGGTGTTGGGCCAAGTGCAGCTCTTGGTGTCTAATCTTGGTTGACCCAGTTTCTCTGCCTCAGATGAGCAAAGACAGTGCCCAATCAGCTCTGTTATCTGGGTCATTAAACAGCAGCCACCGTGCAGGCCCCTCAGCCACGCCGCCCGCCTTTCCTGCAGGTGCAAAGTTCCTCACACAGCCTTCAGGTGGCACTGGGTGACCTGGGGGATCTAGCCGGGGGTGGTGCGTGGCCACGGCTCAGGGTGGTCCCAGGGGTGAGAGTAGGCCCTGCCTTCGGGTACGGGTCCTGTGTCCCACAAGGGACCGAAATGCTGCAAAGCAGTGGGTGGAGGTGACAGTTTCTAGGCCCTCTTTCCACCTCCCTCAACTGACAGCTCAAATCCAGAATAAAAAGCCATTGTCTTAGCGATCAAAAAAACAACCACCAAAGCAATATATAAGCGAGGACAGGGTTTGCCCAGTTTATGTTGCTCAAGAGCACGGTTCTGGAATCCCGACTCTGCCTTTTTGCTGTGTGACTTTGAGCCAGGTACTTGACCTCTCTGAGCCTGTATCATAGGGTAATAGAGTCTACTTATAAGATGTCTCATGGATGAGTAATTTAGCACAGGGACTGATAATGTTGTAACCATTCTCGTGATAATAGCAATTGTTAAACCATTTTCAAAATTCAGCTCCCTTTTCTGGGTTGGGGCCAGAAGGCATAGTTGCATATTTCCAGTTGAGTCTTTCCATCCAACCCCGTGGTTACTGTAGTAACACCTTATAGATCAAATGTAGGTGAGGGGCCTTCGTCCCCTGCGCACCCCCTCTCCCCATGACC